GATTTGAAATAAGTGAGAACAATTATGCTATTGGTTGTAAAAGTAATCAGTTACTATAACTATCTGTGTCAATATAAGCACTGGATTGCTAGAAATAATAACAATCATAACAATGCGGCTGTTATCATCTTTACTATCAATATCACAAAGTCTAGGGATGGCTAACCGGATGCCCTTCCTACCTAGGCTTAAGTGGTCTTGGAAAACTGCTCGAACGCACTGACCCGCAATAACTGAAACATTAACAAGAACAAGAATAAGATGGTGATAACACCGACCTTTTTATGTGGACCTTTCTCTTTCTCTTTCTCTCTCTCCCAAAAACAATCATATATTTATGTTTACTTTATATGAATGTGTGTGTGTGTGTGTGTGTGTGTGTGTGTGTGTGTGTGTGTGTGTGTGTGTGTGTGTGTGTGTGTGTGTGTGTGTGTGTTTGTGTGTGTGTGTGTTTGTGTGTGTGTGTGTGTGTGTGTGTGTGTGTGTGTGTGTGTGTGTGTGCGTGTGCGTGGGCCTGTGTGAGTGCGTGTTCGTGTGCGTGTTCGTGTGCGTGTTCGTGTGCGTGTGTGTGTTCGTGTGTATGTTCGTGTGCGTGTGTGTTTGTGCGTTTGTACCTACGCGTGTGTGTCGGAAGGGGATAATTAACTTTTCCATAAAAAAAAAAAAATGTAGGAAAAAAGAAAAGAAAAGAAAAAACAACGGTTTCTTATGCACAGTATAACAGAAAAGTCCCTTGGGCAATTTGACATCCGGGATTTAGTTGCATCTTTTTATTACGCATAGCAACAACAATGATGATAGAGATATGGGTAATGATAATGATAATGACAATGATAATGACGCTGGTGATGATAATGATAGTACTAATAACGATAAAGATAATGATAACAGATGGAAAGAAAATATAAAATTTTATACTTTGCCAACACGCGATGATCACATGCAGTTCTTTGTGACGCAAGTTTAACAAATTTAATATTCATGAGCTGATACTCTCATCTGATATCTAATTTTAGCGCCGATATCTTCTCAATATGAGAATGTATATTCTTAAAAAAATATATACATATATTTTTCAGATTTATAATTGCTAAAATAATCTGTGCACGAGTTTTTTTTTTTTTTATATAGTCTGATAATAAAATTAAAAGCAATAAACTAGGTCTTCAGTTCATTAGCAAAAGAGTACAGTCTTTTATCATCAGAAAATATATACAGGTGTATTCTAATTAGCATGGAGTGTTCAAACGGGTTGGGATGAAGGAAGGGAGGAAGGGAGGAAGGGAGGAAGGGAGGGAGGGAGGGAGGAAGGGAGGGAGGGAGGAAGGGAGGGAGGGAGGGAGGAAGGGAGGAAGGGAGGGAGGGATGAAGGAAGGGAGAAAGGGAGGGAGGGATGAAGGAAGGGAGGGAGGAAGGGAGGGAGGGAGGGAGGGAGAAAGGGAGGGAGGAAGGGAGGGGGAGGGAGAGAGGAAGGGAGGGAGGGAGGGAGGGAGGGAGGGATGAAGGAAGGGAGGAAGGGAGGAAGGGAGGAAGGAGAGAGAGAGGGAGAGAGGAAGGAAAGGGAGAAAGAAAGACATGATGAATGAACGAGTGAATAAATAAATGAAGGAATGAGGGATGGCAGGAAGGAAATAAAGAAGGAAGGGAGTGAGGGAGGGATAAAAGCAGCGAAAGATAGAGGGAAGGAAGGGTGGAGAGAGGGAGGTTTAGAGGAGCGAAGGAAAGAAAAGAGGGTGGATGGAGGGTGAAAATGGAGGAATTAAGGAAGGAGGTAGGAAGAAAGGAAGGAGGGAGAAAGGAATGGAGGGGGGAGGAGAGGAGGGAGAGAGAGGAGGAGGGGGAGAGGAAAAGAGGGGGAGAAGAAAGGAGGGAGAGAGGGAGGGAGGGAGGGAAGGAGGGAGGGAGGGGGGGAGGAATGAAGGAAGGGAAGAAGGAAGGGAGGGAAGATGGAAGGAGGAAGGATATAAGGTAGAAGAAAAGAAAGGAGGATGGAAGGAGGAAGAGAGGCTAGGGCAAAAAGAAAAAAGGCTAGATATAGGGAAATACATGAAGAAAGGAGAGATGGAGGGATGAGAAAGAGAGAGAGAAAGAGAGAGAAAGAGAAAGAGAGAGAGAGAGAGAGAGAGAGAGAGAGAGAGAGAGAGAGAGAGAGAGAGAGAGAGAGAGAGAGAGAGATCATCACCATTACCCTGTATCAGTCCATACAAACAGAAAAAAAACAGCCAGCCAGGAAAAGAGAGGACGAAAGACGAAAGACGAAAGACGAAAGACGAACCAAGGATAGGAAAGAAGAGGGAGAGGAGACGTAGGCCTGCGCTGGTGCTTGGGGAAATCCGGTACAAAGACGCGCCAGACTAACCGTGCGTGTCATTTGCCGCCGCCTCAATATATTGCTTGAGCAGGCACTCCTTCTGACGGTGCAGGAGGAGACTCTTCAGCCACTCCCGCTTCTTCTGGTGAGGCCAGCGCTCGTCGAAGTCGTCCTCCTCGCTGTGGTTGCCTGCCGGAGGGCGAGGGGGATGTGAGGTAATGGAATCGATGGGGAAAGCTGGAAAAAGAAAGACTAAAAAATAAGAATATAAAAAAATAAGAATAAATTATTCTTAAGATGGTGACTTTGTCTGTCTGTGGAGAAACTCAAACATCAAACATACTTAAGATAGAAAGTAAACAATATTTATATACACCCCCCACACACTTAGATAGATAGATAGATAAATATATGTACACACACACACACACACACACACACACACACACACACACACACACACAGATATATATGTTTATATATATATACATATACATATATATATATATATATATATATATATATATATATATATATATATATATATATATATATATATATATATACACACACACACACACACATATATATTTATATTTATATATATATACATACACACATACACACACACACATGCATGCATGTGTGTGTGTGTGTGTGCGCGCACTCACATACACTCCTTAACAAGAAAATACAAAAAGAAGCAACTCCAAGACATAATGGCTAATCACAGAGCTCGTCCACGTCCTGGTGAGCTGGCAAGTTTGTACCGACAAAGCCTAACTTACTCTCACGCTCTATACTATCGTCGTAAACGGACCAGAGGCGCAGACTTGATTAACTTCGTGTAAAGTTATGTCGTATAAAACCTACGGAGGGGCAGTGAATTCCCTCCCTGCTAAGTTATTCCCTTCATAACATATCATTCGAAACGGCGGATCCAGACGAGATCCAAGGTATCAAACTAACGTTGCAAAAGCTGCTGCCATTGCAAACACACAAGCAGCAATGAAGTAAGATTCTCGCTTGAAGTCTTAGCCTCGTCGAGAATCTCTGAGATCGGAGTTGAGTTCCAACTTGCAAGCTGCTTCACGGGAAAACAAAGAGCAAGTTGCTGCTTTGTCTTCTCCGGGGTTTGGTAAGGTGTAAGTTGGTCTTGAGGAATACGAAAGGGAGGGAGAGGGAGAAGGAGAGAGAGATAGGGAGGATAATAACCGTTGATAGATAGATAAAAATAGATAGATTAATAGGTAAATATATATAGATAGATAGAGAGATAAAGAGCGGGAGGCAAAGAGAGAGAGAGAGAGAGAGAGAGAGAGAGAGAGAGAGAGAGAGAGAGAGAGAGAGAGAGAGAGAGAGAGAGAGAGAGAGAGCAGTTGGGTGTGAAAGACTAGCAATCATTTATTGTTAATGTTTGCTCGGTTACTTTACTTCAAAAAAACTTTTTTGAGAAAGTTGTTTACGGATTAACAAAATCCCTTAGCTGCTTCTGCATCCTCAAATTATCTTTCTTTCCTCGCTTAACTTTTCCTTTCTTTCTTTTAAGTTTAGTTTAGTTTTAATCCATTTTATGTTCTTATTACATTTTTTTTCTTTCTTTTTTGCCTGTACTCTGACAGCATTTTTTACCTTAATTCTCTCTTTCTCTCGACTGGCAGCGCATTTTGTCCTTCTGATTTCGGATTCTTTCAACGACCTTTGACCTATGCTGATCTTTTCTGTCCCATGCAAAATCCTCGGGAGCAAAATTAGCAAGGGCTCCACTCGCCTTGTCTAATTCTGGAGAGGCTGGATTCAAGCCGGGGATCGCCATCCTTCTGCTCAGAGTAAGAGGCACTGTCTGGGGAACGAGACGAGACGATGTTTGATCAGACTCTGTTTATTCTTTCACGGGCAATGAAAATATATTTATTGTCTATAGCTATATTAGAAATTGAATGTTATGTGGTGAGTGAAAATGTCATAAAACGATTCGATGGCAGAAAATAAACGATATCGGGAAAGTGTCGTTGAAGTGTAACCAAAAGGGGCTGGGCGTCCGGAGATATCTTAGGGACCACGAGCGACTCTGGGCTGTGAAACCTTGGGATTTATGCATTGTGGAATTCAACAGCAGTCATATTGGACCAGTTTGGAAACATCAAACGAAGCTCCTCCATTCACTACACGCGAGATTTTATTAACTTGCATCATCTCATACGTAAATAAGAGGGCATTGGAGCTCATCGGTCAGACCTTCGTAATCACAAAAAGAATTTCCTTGGCAAGCAACCAAATTTGATTGCGGTCTCCCTCATTGTCATTGCTAATAGTGGTTTATTGGAATAATATTCGTAATCCTCTACAAGCATATGGAGACATGACATTAGCACTTGCGCACAAGTCAGTACTTTGCTATTAGATGCTTTTAGACATAATGTCTGAATAAATTTTAGTGAATAGAATGGAGACAAATACTGAGAATTTCATGGTTATATAAGTCAAATGCAACAAATGAACCACTAGACTCATGCCTTTTGAAGTGAACCTTGATATCCTGAGGATTTGAAATAAGTGAACCTTGATATCCTGAGGATTTGAAATAGTCCTATAGCACAAACAAAAAAAGTGAAATGAAAGAAAAGAAAGTTTCAAAGCGTGAGAAAACGTTCTATATGCCGTCCAAATTGAAAGCCATTTGGTGCATCACAAGAAGACTTACGCCGGCATACGGGCAGACCTTCATACGACTTACCTATAAATACACTTCATCGACTTGGCTTTCGTCCATCATAAACTTAAAAGAATGAAAGAAAGAAATAAAGAAAAATATCATGCACGGATCAAGCTGCATTTCGTCATCCGATGCTCTAAATCAAGGGAATATCTCCTGCCTAGAGTTTTTACATAAGGAATTTTACCATAAATTCCACAAAATGTCGTTAACTTCCCCCAGATTTCCATCCGTCTAGGAAACACTTTGCGCGAAAAATGTTAGTGCTGAAGTCGGCGAGGCAAAATGCAGTGCAAATAGGTATTAATGTTAATTGCACTTTACCGTAATTGATATTCAGTCAGTAATGTTGTCAAGTGTCGATTTTATTTATACAAAAAACACCACGAAAAAAAGTCTTTATCACTTAATCACGTAAATATTAATTTACTACTGCTGCACTATTATTTCCAGCTATTATGATAACTATTACCATAGTCATCGTCATTTTATTACAATTATCATCATTGATTGAAAAAAAATCACTTAACGATTATGAAGACTACGCTACGAATATTTGAGAATGAAGCCGATGTAAATTTAAGGTGTAATTATATATTTTTTCTGTGTGTGCATATAAAGTGTAGATACACTTTTTTTGTATATATAATTATATAACTGTAATTGAGTTTGTATCTGAAAGGGACGAATAGACTATTCAAGTGAATAAAAACTCTACTTGAACAAAAAAGGCCCAAAAAACAATGAAATATCAATAAAATAAAAAAAAACTGAAATAATAACAACAAAGAACCCAATGCTTGTGAATATATATATATATATATATATATATATATATATATATATATATATATATATATATATATATATATATATATATATATATATACATATATATATATATATATTTCAAGGCTCTGATAATTGGATCACTATAAGATATTTGCAAGCCAATTTCATTGCAGACAGCTTTTGTTCAGTTCCACTAGACCAAACCCTTATGCATTCTGTTTACCTAAAATGAGTATCCTCTTGAGCCTGAATGAAATTAGACAAAGCATTGAAAATAATATTTACTTAATAGTTTTGCCATTCACGTTAGCTGTAATGTGCATTGCTATAATCATTTATAATATTTTCACAATTACTCTTCATTACTTTCGCGGTCGTTACATGTAATTTAATGGGGAATATCAAGGAAATGATGACAAAGACTCTGAGGTTACATATCCTGTTGCTTTTGGTATGTCAATTTAGGAAGTTCCTGTTTCTTAATGCTGCTGCGTCTCGTGAAGTCAACGGATTCGCTAGCATTTAGTGTTAATTACGCTGTACAGAGCAAATTACGTTACATTTGATATTTCTGATTATATGTGAAAAGAAAGACCGCCATGATGATTATAAATAAAACAAAAATAAACAAATAAACGATGCGAAGATTTCTCGGAAACTATTTCACAAGATATTAAAAGTTTATATACAGCGTAAGAAACCGAAGCCGCCGTCCGAACGAATAAACCAAAGGGTGAACTGCCGAGGAAAATCCGCAAGTTATTTGCTTTTATTTGCCTCTTTTTGACGCAGTAAATACACATAGATGTTAAAATACACTTATGTTTTTTTTTTTTTACCATTTTATTACATCTTATCTCTTATAATATACATTTCAGCTTTTGAAATTCTCACTATCAACGGTTACTTTTCACTTTAGAATTTCTTCTCGCCTGATGCTTGGCACCGCCGCAAAAAAACGTCTGGCACGTTGCCTGTGACAGCTCTCATTAACAGGAAAATTTGTGATATTGCAGTTTCACTTGTGATGTCACAGGTAAAACCGTGCTGGAAAAGTCGGCTTTTGTCTCTGGTCTGACATCGTTCCCCATTAAGAAGGTAAAAAAAGGGATATATATTTTTTTGGTCCCCGAGTTCTCATCCCCAAGATCACACCTTTAACGCGGTAAGCCTAAGCTCTTCAGTTTACTATCGTTTTTCTCCACACGTTAATCCTATCCTCATCTCCCTCCTCCTTTTTCTTCCCTTTCACATCTTGTAATTTTTCTCTTTCATCTTTTCACTTCTAATTCCTCTTTCGCTCCTCCTCTCCTACTCGTCTCCCTCCCTTCCTTCCTTTGTTCCTGTATTTTTTTTTCCCTCTCTCTTTTCCTTCTCTTTTCACTATTTTCTTCTATTTCCTATTTCTCTCCTTTACATTTTCTTCCACCATTTCTCCTCCTATTACCCTTCCCCCCCTGTTATTTATACATCTTAATTTGATATCATTCCCTCTTCTCCCTTTTCATTCCAATCCTTCTTCCCGTTCTCACTCTCCTTCATTTCACTTACTTTTATAGCTCTCCTCTCCCCTCTCTCCGCCCCTATTAGTTTGTTTTTTTTTCTCTCTGTTAAACAATTACTAAATAACTCTATTGACGGTTGACGATTTGTTTTGTTGTGATATGTATGTGATATGTCC